GTACTGCTGGTGTTTGGCACGAAAACACCAATTGTGCACTGAACACTCTTCAAAGTTGGCGTGCAGACAGTAATAGTATTCTGTTTCGAAATGAATATAATCTCGCGACTAAATGACACACAACTGTCAGTCACGATTATGTTACTCCCACGCTGTTATTGTTGCAAAACGGTGGCTTGAGTTTATCATTTACCGGTGTTGGAAAAGCAACTAGTCACCTGTTAGCAAAAACCGTTCCATCTCTGTTTGGCGTTTACGTTCGTTAATCATGCATTAAGAAAACAATCCGCTTCGCTGCAGATGTCGCGAGTTATAAGGGAGCAAATGCGCCGTTAAACAAGCTCTTAACATAGGTTTGTGCCTTGAGCCATGAACCTAAAACGAGGCGTGAAACATTCAAATATTTGATGTTATCGCCGTAGGCAGAAAATCGCTTTCGTTCGGTCAATAAATAAGAAATATGGCTTTGTGCTACTTTATAAATTGAGAAGACAGATATGGATATGCGATGCCAGTGAGTCGTAAAATATGTCAGCCGAATCAACAATCGGTTGGATAAATTGTTGATTCGATCTTCCCCAGATGCTTAACAATGTGCCCTCCAAATAAGTAAGTGGTTCGATTAAAGCTACCAATCTACGATGACATGGCAAAAACCGTCAAACTTGATCGATCGCTGTTCAGCAGTCAATTGGGTTGGGCGGGCCAGAGCACTTCCTCCATTCTTCGGTCGTTCCAGTCTTCCTTTACCACGATGGTGGCTGTAGGCCAGCCTGTAAACCTAGCCATCTTTTCAGAAGGCGTCCAATAGAGGCTTTCATGATCAAATGAGTACTGCTCGACGACTGCCGTCATCACGTCAGTAGTCAGTAAACCGAAGTACCGCGCATAGCCGATTTTTGTCTGCCTGCATTCGGCGATGACATGCTGCACTGCTGCTTGGCGTCCCATTACTGCGCTGAGAATGTTGTCGTCGGGTGAAATCCTCGACATCCATGGGATTGTCAGCAACACAAAGCTGAGATGTTGCTGCATTTGCTCGCCGGTGACCATGCTTCGTTGACAGTACCGATCAACCGAAGCGACAGACAGCAACATGAGTTGTGCTGCACTGCTGCTTTTCCTAAGCACGATCTTCTCGGGATCGATCGAAGAAGTGGAACGCGAGGCAGCGGATTTATTTTCACGCCAAATATTGGTCTTATCGTCTGATCGTGTTTGACTTTTAGCCTTAAACAGAAACAAGAGTCCACTGCTTCCCCAGACTCTTCATTGTCTGCTGCTTGAATTTTCTCCGGGACTTCTGATCACGTCCACTTTTCCTTCGCACATAGTTTCCTGACAGAAGGTAAAAGTTTAGCATAAACTGCGTCATCTTGCGTGGCACACTACATGTCCGGGA